TTTCCACACAACCCAGGTGCACCAGATCTCATGAGAGCTGGAAGTACCTATAAAGTCAACCGTTAAAACCTGAGCTATACAAAAAGCCTTCTCCAGGGAATCAGCAGCAAAGTAGCAATTTAGCTCAACCAAAGAGCTCAAGTTGGTCCCCACAGGAATTTCCCCACTTTAGAAGTAAGCAAAGGACAACAAATTAGTTCCAGAGCAGAGTTTAATGGTAGGAACAGCAAATAATCCAGCACAGAACTGAAAGAAAAAACAAAGTATCCACAACCAGAGACAAAGTTTGATATGAACTAGTAAAGGTCTCATTTCACCAGAGAACACCTATAACCCTTAGAAGGACCAGATGTCCCCTGGGCTACCAAGCCAGAAAGGGGGGAGGGCCGGGGGCCTTGTGCATGCCACCCAACACCTACAACCAGTCCTAAGGGTTGGGACCAAGGGCCTCAGCCACGCTCCCCTGACACATGCAACCAGCCCAGTGATGACCACTGAAACACATCAGGAAGTGCCCTGGGCTCTCCCAAACTGGGGCAGTGGGGGGCCTAGGACCTTGGCCACACACCCCCAACACATGCAACCAGCACAGTGACAACCACTGAGCCACCGAAAGAGGGCCCCAGATTCCCAAGCTAAAGTGGTGGGGGCCAACGGCTTTTGCCACACCCCCCTGACATCTGCACTAAGCCCTGCAATGACCAAGCCACCACCGGAAGCCCCCTGGTCTCTCCTGTGGGAACAAAGGGGGTGCCACAGGCCTCCATCCCACCCCTCCTCCTTCCTCCTTCCATCCCATTTCCTTCCCCTTTCCCCTCTCCCCCTCCCTCCCAACTGCTCCTCAACAACATCATACAATGTAAAGAAATAATATGATTAAAAAAACAACAAACAGGGCCGGCCCGGTGGCGCACTGGAGAGTGTGCCGCTTGGGAGCGTGGCGGCGCTCCCGCTGAGGGTTCGGATCCCATGTAGAGACCAGTTCCTGCTCACTGGCTGAGTGTGGTGCAGGCACAACACCAAGGGTTGCGATCCCATTGCCAGTCCCCGGTACGGGCGCGACACTGAAGGTTGTGATCCCATTACCGGTCAGTAAAAAAAGACAAAAAGGAATAAAAAAAAAAAAAAAAACAAGCAAACAAAATTAATTATTAATTAATTAACAGTTGGGAAAGGGCAGGCAGTGTGGAATTGCTTACTAAACCAAGACATGGACGACTTTTACCCATTAAGATCTTCATGAATCCATGGAATAGATTATAAGGTGGAAATTAAATGGAAAAGCAAATTTAAGAGGACTGAGGGTCTTAGCAAAAAATGCAACTTTAGGCAGGAAAGCAAGGGAGTGGAGGAGAGGTTTGTTTACTCAACACATGCTGGGTGCCATCTGCTTTTCATGTATTGTAGCTAATTCTCCAAGAAGCCCTGTGGGTTAGACATTTACCCCAGTTTACAGAGGAGAAAAGTGGTACAGAAAAGGGAATCAATTTTACTAATGTCACAGAGAAAAGTGGTACAGAAAAGGGAATCAATTTTACTAATGTCACATAGCAAGAACATGGGGCAATATATATGGACTCTCAGATCTTTCTGCTCCCAAAGCCTGCAACCTTTTCCCTACTAGCCAGGTTGAGTACAAGGCCCTGCTTCTGGGCTCTGATCTTATTTCCTCAAGGCAAGTATGGCAGAATCGGCAAAAAGATCTTCCCCTTCCCCAGCAGGGCCAATGACAGGGGCACGGGAACAGGCCATGGGGACCTGCACTCACCACTCGATCTCTTTAGGCTCACGGTCCCTCAGGAGCTCTTGCACCTCCTGCCGGCAGCGCTCCT